CATATATCACCACTCCTCAGTGGGTTCAGGACTGGACGTCACATTCTGCTTCTGTTAAAGTCCCTGAGGCAGGGAATAACAACATGGAGTAAGGCATGCAGTGAATGAGAAGGAAAAAATAGGCTAATCTCTCAAAACATTTGAGCCATGTATGGCTATGTGAAATCTTTTCTACAACTTTTGTAGAAGAAGGTGTACCTAGAACTAAGAAGAAACCAGCATTTAGCAGGTCAGTCACAGAAAGCCTATAAAGATGAGACAAGTCAGGCAGCCTGGGTGGCTCAGTGGTTTAGCACCGCCTTCAGCCCAGGGCGTGATCCTGGAGACCCAGGATCGAGTCCCATGTCGGGCTCCCTGTATGGAGTCTACTTCTCCCTCTGTTTGTGTCTCTGCCTCTCTCTCTCTCTCTCTCTCTCTCTCTGTGTGTGTGTGTGTGTGTGTGTGTGTGTCTCATGAATAAATAAATATAATCTTTAAAAAAAAAGAGAGACAAATCCTCAATCTCATTATTATCAAAGGAATGCAAATTCTTTTTTTTTAAGATTTTATTTATTTATTCATGAGAGAGAGAGAGAGAGAGAGAGGCAGAGACACAGGCAGAGGGAGAAGCAGACTCCATGCAGGGAGCCCAACATGGGACTTGACCCCCGGTCTCCAGGATCGTGCCCTGAGCTGAAGGCGGTGCTAAACTGCTGCACCATCCAGGCTGCCCTTTATTTTTTTTTTTAAAGGAATGCAAATTCTAATAATCACTTACATGTCATTTTCCTCTTACATAGTCAAAAATTAAAAGGATTTGGACCATCTAATGCAGGCACAACTTAGAGAAAGAGACACCCTGAGCCGAGAGACATTCTGAAATGGGACGGCCCATTAGAGTTGCCTTGAGTTGGGCTGAAAAGTGTCAGCCTTGACACCCCCTACATAGTACCAGCTGTAACACTGTACCAGCCACTGTAACAGTACCAGAGCTGCCTTGGCCACTTGACATTGGCCAGGGCAGCTCTGCAGCTGAGGCCCTCTCTTGAGGACTGACACCTGAAGAACATCTGCTGACAGCCCTTCCAAGACTAGAGATATATATTTTTTCTTTTGTTTTGTTGTTTTTTGTTTGTTTTTTAGGGAGAGAAAGTGCACACACATATCAGCTGTTGAGAGGGGGTGGTAGGGAGAAGGAGAGGGGGAGAGAGTCTTAAGCAGGCTCCAGGCCCAGAGCACAGGTGCAGAACCTGATGTAGGGCTTGATCTCATGACCCTGAGATCATGACCTGAGCTGAAATCAAGAGTCCGACACTCAACGGACTGAGCCACCTAGGGGCCCCAATTCTTTATTCCTGAAAATAATCTAAGCAGTGCTGCATGCCCCATACCATATATTCTCCTGTTTATCTTCTACTGTCACCGTAGAGGTCAAACATATGTGTTGCTACCTTAGATTAAGGAAACAGGCTCAGGGACATTAACTTCCTAGGAAGAGGCAGAGCCATTCCACCCCAATATCAAAACCTTCATGTTCCTGTGAAATCCCTCTCCTCCAAAGCCTCCAGGAGGACCATCTGTGTTTGGGGCGGCGGGGGGGGAGGGGAGCAGAATCATTGTGCCAGGGTTTCATTTGCAAGGCAACCACAAGTCCTGCATGCTTTATTAGCATGATCATCATAAACAATAAACATAGAAAACAGCTTTGTAACATCATCACTCCCTTCTTTCTTTTTTTTTAAGATTTTATTTGTTTATACATGAGAGACAGAGACAGAGGCAGAGACATAGCCAAAGAGAGAAGCAGGCCCCATGCAGATAGCCCAATGTGGGACTCGATCCCGAGACTCCCGGATCACGGCCTGGGCCAAAGGCAGGCACTAAACCGCTGAGCCATGCAGGCGTCCCGCATACATAGATATTATTCAGACTTCAAAAAGAAGGAAGTTTTCACACATCAGCTACAACATACATCAACTCTGAGGCCATTATGTAAGGTGACTAAGCCAGTCACACAGTAACAAATACTGTAGGATCCCCCTTGTCTGGGTTATCCGTGTAGTCAAATTCATAGAGATGGAAAATAGAATGGTGGGTGCCCGGACCTGGGGGAAAGGGAATGGGGAGTTAGTGTTTAATGGGACAAAGTTTCAGTTTTTCAAGACGAAGAGTCCTAGATATGGATGATAGTGATGGTTGCACAACGATTAGAATGTACTTAATGCCACTGAATTGGAGGCTTAAAAATGGTGATGATGATAAATTGTATGCTCTGTGCATTTTATTACCATTTTAAAATTCTTTAATAATATCAAAACTAGAGGTAACTGGGTGGCTCAGTCAATTAACCATCTGCGTTCTGCTAGGTCATGATCTCAAGGTCCTATCCACCCCCACTTCAGTTCTCTGCCTGGCAGGGGTATATTTCTCCATCTCCCCTGCTATCCCCCTGGTTTGTGCATAGGCCATCGTTTATAATCTCTTGAAAAACAAAACAAAATAAATTTAGGGGTGCCTAAGTGGCTCAGTTGATAGAGAGCAGACTCTTTTTTTTTATATAAGATTTTATTTATTTATTCATGAGAGACACATAGACAGAGAGAGAGAGAGAGAGAGGCAGAGACACAAGAAGGTGGAGAAGAGAGCTCCATGCAGGGAGCACAATGTGGGACTCAATTCTGGGACTCCATGATCACGCCCTGGGCCAAAGGCAGTTGCTAACCGCAGAGCCACCAGGGGCCCTGAGAGCAGACTCTTGATCTCAGGTTTGTGAGTTCAAAACCCACGTTTGGTGTAGAGCTTAGGGGCCTACCCTCTCTATTTGGGAAGGCAGGATCTTAACATGGGAAAAAAAAAAAAATCAACCCTTCTGGAAAAGTATCAAGGCCAAGTGGTGTGCTATGCTGTACATACAGGATGGGTACGGGAGCTGAGCTGCAGACCTGCCCAGGGTTAGTAGGAAAAGGTCTTGCACAGGTGGATTTGGTTTGAACCATGCAGCCATATTACTAGGATTCGCTTTGGGAAAGGTTACCACGCTTTGTTGATTCAATCAGAAGCTTTTCAAGCTGGTTCAGTCTGTGGCTCACAAAGCAGGAACTCCAAGCAGATACCAGGAGCCAAGGTCTGTTTTTCTGAGGCTGTCAGTGCCAACCATCAACAAAAGGGATCCTTTCTATTTGTTTTGGTCTGCACTTGGAGTACCTCCTATAGTCCTTTGACGTGAGTCTCTGGGGAAATAAAAGGTTAGCCCAGGATAAATCCCTCCCCTTTACAGCCACTAGGAAACCAGGCTGCTCCTCATTCTGCCAAGATCCGGTGGTAATCCCCTCCCAGCTCTCCATTCTGCAGCTGATCCTCATGCCCACCTCTCCCAGCTGGGTCCACACAGACAAAATGAGCCGTCCTAACTCCTCCATTTGTTGTCTTTCTTCGACATCTAGTCCTATTGTGCTGAATAGAAATGGATGCTTGGATGTTTGGAAATGAATTAATAACACCAGAGACACAGAACAAATTGGAAATGAGTTGTTTCCTGAGAGACTAGTTGGCAACCAGAAATGCCTAAGGGACATAAACTGTGCTCTCTGCTTTCCTTTTTTTTTTTTTCTTTTAAGATTTCATTTATTAATGAGAGACATAGAGAGAGACACAGAGGTAGAGAACAGGCAGAGGGGCTGTGGGAATCAATCTCTGGACTCCAGGATCACAACCTGGGCTGAAGGGAGGTGCTAAACCACTGAGCCACCCAGGGATCCCCTGCTGTCTGCTTCCCTATTGAAGTTTATTTTTTCATAAGTATTTGAAATTTGAAAAGAGTTCGAAAGGTTTTTGCTAGAACAGGGCTAAATACATGCTGATTACACTGCATTCCTTATGTACATTTTATGACCAATTCTTCCATAATCCAATTTCCTTAAAACCTATCAGGAGTTGTCTTGTCTTTTCCAGTTTCCAGCCGGACATGAGCTTAAACTGTGGCCTCCTGGCGCCCGGATGCTCAGTAGCTTAAGCATCTACCGTTGTCTCAGGTCATGATCTAGGTTCCTGGGGATCAAGCCCCCATTAAGCAAGGAGTCTGCTTCTCCCTCTCCCTCTGAGCTCTCTCTCTCAAAGAAAGAAAGAGAGAGAAAGAGGAAGAAGTAAAAAAGTGTCCTCACAAAGAAACCAACAAAAAAGGTGAACGTACATTTAGGACAACTTGTGCTTAGCAGATTGAAAAAAAGGGACTCCTTGTTGTTCCTGATCTAAATTCTAACTGGTATGCTTAACAATCAGTAGTATGTGTCTTTGCTGCCCTCAGTTGGTGTAGGAACACAGCTCTGTATTACAAGAAAGTCCCCATGGGGCACCTGGGTGGCTCAATGGGTTAAACATCTCTGCCTTAGGCTCAGGTCCTGATCTAAGGGTCCTGGGGTTGAGCCCCCTGTCAGGTTCCCTGCCCAGCGCGGAGTCTGTTTCTCTCACTCTCTCTGCCCCTCTCACCTGCTGCTGCTTGTGCGCTCTCTCTCTCTCTCTCTCTCTCTCTCTCTAACATAAATAATCTTTAAATGAAATAAAACAAATTTCCCCAGTTCGTGGCCATTAGAAATCGAAAGTAACAATTTCACTGTAACTTGAGAGAATTTAGGTTTCATTCATAAATGCTGAGGGTTTCGAGCTGCCTAACTCAATAAAAACTAGCAGAGGGAGTCACTTTTGTCTTCCTTGTTCAGCGACAGAGAAAGGGATTTGGAAAGATCCTGTCTATTTTAAGGAGGCTGGCTGGGTTGGAGTAGTCATGCAAGGGACTCCTGTGTCAAAGCATGAGCATCCACCCTCGTCCTCTATCCACAAGGCCCTCCATTAAACGTGTGTGTAGAGGACAGTGTTCTAGATCTGAGAAGTCTCTCATGCCATGAAATCTGGTGGTGGGATTTCCAGAAGAGGGATGCAAAAAAGTCAGCAGACCCTGAGTTTAGAGCATTCCTTCTTGCTTGGGCAAAGAGCTAACTGAATGAAAGTAACTGAACACACTTAAATTAGACATCGGTGACCTTTATTAGGTGCAAAGTAGTATTCCTGACGACAGTAATAGGCCAGTGTTACATCTGTTCATCCATTAAAGCAACAGCCCCTCACCCAAAGCTAACCAGATACCATAAAGTTCCCTGTAAGTGCGTTGTGATCTTCATAACAAGTGACAGGAAACATTAGGACAGCTCATTAATAAAACATGTTCCATAGGCGTCTTGATTCCTTTTGGTTTCCTCTCAAAGAGCTCCAGCAGGCGGCTACTTCAAAGGCTAATTCTTCGTCCTCTCACCAGCCGGGCTCGATATCTAGACACCTCCTGGAAATAAAGCCAAATACAGTGAGTCCATGGAACACTGAGAATCTGTTGGGCATCAGACAAAGAAGATTTCTAGCATCTACCAATAGTTAAATGGAAAAACTCTCACAGTGGTCCTATCAGTAAATGAACCATATTCTAAGACTCCCAATAATTTACTTGTCAACATCTGAAATCGTGTTGAACAAAATGAGAGAGCCAGAGGCCAGTCAGCCTGTGCCAATTGGTGCTCCTGTTGACTACAGGTGTCCTCAATAGGCTGGGCAGGCTTTTGGTAAAGGAGACCCCCACTCCTTGTCTGGCTTTCCTTTATCCACTCGCTGCCTCATCTAGAGTGATCTGCTCCTCAGTGAAAATCAGGTCATGATTTGGTATTGGGTTGATTTGGTATTATTGCTTTGTTCTTAATCAAACAACTGAGACTTTTGATTCAACAAACTTTCTGGTTTCTTGTTTATTTTTGAGCAGACAGCAAGGTCTGGTGGAACGCTTAATTTCAGAATTCAGCCTGACTCTGAAATGTAGCTCTGTCACCTGCATCACTTCTGGTAGCCTCTTGGACTTTTCATTTTCTCCTTAAGAGCGTGGAGGGCGGGGCACCTGGGTTGCTCAGTCAGTTAAGAGCCCAACTCATCTCAGGGTGGTGGGATGGACTCCGGGTTGGGGTCCTGGCTCAGTGGGGAATCTGCTGGAGATTCCCTCCCTCTCCTTCTGCCCGGACCCCCACCTCCTGCTCACGTTCTCTCTCTCTCTCTCTCTCTCTCTCTCTCTCTCTCTGTCTCAAATAATTGAAAGAAATACTGGAGGCAGTTCATTCATTTACAACCCTGACAAACTGCTAACACAACATATGCTTTTTTTTCTGCTGCAAGAATCAGTGTGTTGCCCGGAAGCCCCACTTGACAAAAGAGGATGCCTTCATAAAAGCGTTTTAAAAACTGGGCAAAGAGAGAAGGACAAGACTTCCCACCATCGGCAAATGTGAAATGAGAGCCTCTTCTGATATGGGGTAGATTCATAGGTTCTAAAGGGAGAAGGGGCCAAGGGGGAAGTAAGATTCTTCAGCTGGGAATGAGTTTCACAAGTTGATTCCCAGTGGCCCAGTAGCGTAGTGCTGGTGTGCGGTACTCTTCACAGTACTAGAGGGGCCGAGTTATCATTACATTCAGTCTACGTGGAGGTCCTGTCACCCCCTAGGAAACACATATATTGGTGATTCCTGCAAATTGGAACATAGGATCAGCCTCTTGGTTCAGAGGCTAAAATGTCTTTGTCTACCAGGCAAATATGTTTATTTCTTTGGCTTGACTGTAATTTGTCTGGGGATCAGCAGCAGCACTGAAGGCCCACTAGCTACACGCAACTACTTTACAATGTTGTGTATTAAGTAGCAAAGCATATGAAATGATGTCTCATGTCCCCTCTTGATAAGCATCAGTGGTTTCTGCCATCAGCTCCATGGAACCCCAGATGCTAACTGACCCACACAGAAACCTGCTTGAGAATTGCTTCTGGGACAGTTATTGGATCTGCATATATGTAAATACTCTGTTGTAGAGAAATTAAGGGAGGCCTATGGGTAACACCCCAAACCTTTAACTTTCCTTATGTGCATTCAGAAGGTGGCTTTTGTCGTTCACTTGCTCTCCTCCAGATCTGCTGTTTCCTTTCCTACCTGCCTGTTCTGGAACAGGATAGCCTACACAGCACAGGGCGGCCAAAAGACATAAAGAAGTCTGGGATGCTCAGGTGGCCCACGTGGGGGAAGCAAGTATTAGCTGAAATTCCAAGGTGATTATCAGCGGATCTCAGGAGGCTTCTGCACGGTGCTCTAAACGATGCACATTATGCTTCCAAATTAAATCAGGGAAAACTCAGGTGCCTGGTGGCCCAGTTGGTTAAGCCTCTATGTTCCACTTAGTTCATGATCTCAGGATCCTGGATTGATCCCAACATCATGCTCCCTGCTCAGCAGGAAGTCTACTTCTTCCTCTCCCTCTTTCTCTCCCCGCTGCTCATGCTCTCTCTCCCTCTCTCTCTCTCTTTCTTTCTCAAATAAATAAAGAAAATCTTTAAAAAAATAGATATGAGTATTGTCATGCATTGAAGAAAATAGTCTTATAAATCTTTCATCTCAACAAACATACCTTCAGGCTGGTATCTTTCGGGAATCCATATAATCTGTGTACTAACTCAACAAGTTCCCTCTCAGCGATTTCTTGACTGGTTCCTTTCACATCGATGTAGTGGCAATCAGCACTGGCGAAATGGCAGGAAATTGCCTGTGCAGGGTGAAATGATTAATATTGGGGGAGAAAAAAATCTGTTAACAGCAACAACCAAACAGAAAGACTTCTTTTAGAACATCAGCTAGTTCACTAGCATTTGATTTCTAGAATGTTCCATCGTGTCTTGGATTAGTCTCTTTGGGGTTGGGGTCTTTTCTCCCCCTAGGTACAGCTAAAGGCTGACTTGAGAATTTCCAAGAGGTTTTAAGCTCCCTGGGATACCTGTTTTCAAAATGGGTAGAGAACATAATGACAAGAGTAAGAGGACTTTAAACATGTGATTTTTCTAGCGAGTGCATGTCCTCGAGTCCTAAACAGGAATGGGTTCCAGGATTCTTCATCCTCTTCTTAGTCACAGAAGTTAGTTACTCAGCTTAATCAGGGGGGAAAAGAAAAAGACAAAAAGACCTTGCAAAGATAAATAATATACACACCCACCCTTGTCAAATCAAAAGGACATTTGAAGTCCAATAGCATTCCTATACGGCAGTCATCTTGTTTCCTTCTGAAGGTAAGAGGAGGTTACTTGGTTCTCCCCATTCTTTTTTTTTTTTTTTAGATTTTATTTATTCATGAGAGACAGAGAGAGAGAGGCAGAGACACAGGCAGAGGGAGAAACAGGCTCCCCACGGGGAGCGCGATGCTGGACTCAATACCAGGACCCCTAGGATCATGACCTGAGCCAAAGACAGACACTCGACCCTCGAGCCACCCCAGTGCCCTGGTTCTCCCTATTCTTGAAAAGGTTATCAGCAGATAAACTTAAAACTCACTTTCCTCGTCGCACGTTAGCTCTCTTGTGGTGACTTCGCTTCTCAGAAGGTCTGCCTGCTTTGCTTGCAACATGAGATTTTTTTTTAAGGTTTTTATTTATTTATTCATGAGAGACACACACACAGAGAGAGAGAGAGCAGCAGAGACACAGGCAGGGAGGGAGAGGCAGGCTCCATGGAGGGAGCCTGATGTGGGACTTGATCCGAGGATTCCAGGATCACGTCCTGGGCTGAAGGCTGCGCTAAACCGCTGAGCCACCGAGGCCGCCCTCAACATGAGATTTCTAGACAGTGGTATTACAAACTCCATTTCCCATGGATGCCCCCACACTACACCAAGGAGGCCAGAGGAGATAAGTTCATTACTATATACGTGTTTTGAAGTCTTTTTGTAAGGTTCATCTTTTCCCAAATTGGTAGTTGAAAAACTATTGAAAAAAACTGCAGTGTTAGGATGTTATCAACCACATTACTTGGTTTTCTTATTTACCTTTTAGGTCCTACAGTAATCATTTTATACTATTTTCTAAGGATTTGACATGAAATCTTTCAATATGTAGCTATCCTATATTACTTTATGATGCTGATCATATAGGAAGTAATATAATTTTCTAACTCATACAGACTTTCAAACTATTTATCTTAGCTTCCTGTTTTGATACACATATACCTAAATTTCCATTTTTCATTTCAAGTTGAATGTTGACACCAAGGATACATGATAAGGCCCAAATTCATGAATTTCACAACACTCACATTATTTATGTCTTGTTTCTGTACCTCCTGCTTGTATACTTCTGAGGGTCATGCTGGTGGGGAGTCTGATCTAGTCTTTATTTAAAATTTTGGCATTGTGTTCATCATAGATATTTTTTTGCATTGATGTTGATTTTCTAAATACTGCCTTAAGCTATCATTTAACTTGATTGTTGAGGTATTTTAGCACCATCCTCCTAACCCCGTTATATTTTCCCTGGAGGAGAGGGCTTTCTTGCCTCACCCTCATCCTGGCCCTGTTGACCTGGTGGAAATATGAATGAATAGAAGATGAAACCTGGTAGCTAACCCTGCACCTAGGGAGACAACGGGTGTTGGTGTGACAAACTGGCAGGCTTCACTCAACCCCAAACCCCCCTAATATATTGTAGTAAGAGCCATGTAATGTGGGTAATGTCAGTCCACAGTGCTGTCAGAGCTGCTGAATTTTTTAGAAGAGAGAAATCTGGGAATATGGGAAATTTTGTCGAATTTTAATGTAAGCAATGAAATCAATAGGTTTTTAATATATTCATAGCTAAGGGGCAAAAAACATGGCTCGCTGCTAAATCTTATTTCTGGGCAGCCAATTCAATAACAAAGCTATTATATGCTGCTGTCATAAACGGTTCCTATATCCATTTCCCATTTTAAGATTTTAGTACATCAGCCATTGTTTCTGTCTCCAAAAGCACAGGCTGTGGGCTACCAAATATGTTCTTTCTCTGAAGCAATTCTATGAATGTTCCTAATTCAGGATAAGTAGGATTGGGAAACTGAGGTCACTTGCCTCCTATTGATAACTTAGCAAAAAAAGCATGAGGTATCAAATATATTTCCTGGTAAATAAACCAGAGCAAGAGCAGTTTAGTTAAACATCACAAATCTCATAAAGTTTCACATATCTTGACATTTTTGCTTCTAACCTATTCGTCTTTGGAAAGCACAGTGATGTAATGCATACCTTGCGGTATCCTTGAGTTTTGTTCCAGCCAGATCCGTGGATGAGCAAAGGATGAAAGAAAACGGTGTCTCCCTTCTCCATCACAAGGTGCACGCGGGGGCTGTTTTCATCATAGTCCTGGATCCCATAGAACATTAAGTTCACACCCCCCTAGAACACATAAGAGAACCCAACTCTGTATTTGAGGAACCCAATGACTAAAAATTTTATCAATGACTCATTAGGAAAAGCAAAGGTTTCCTAAGCTCTTCCAAGAGAAAGATAAATAGATTCTTAACAGGTACTGCAAATATACAAAAGCTTCTCAGATGTGTGGCTGTGAAAGTCACATTGTGATATTAAAATCATGGATTTAGGGAGGCAAAGGAAGATGCTGAAATTTCCACATACCCGTCATAACTGTATTATATTTGAGGATCTAGATCAACGTTGCATTTTGCAGTTAACATGGGAGATCACCTTTCAAGCCTGAATGTATAATCATTCTTTCCCAGGATGATATTCTCCTCACCTAGAACTTTGCCTGAACCATTCTTCTATAACTCAGGAGTACCTCTAAGAAGCTAACTATTCTCCCAAACCAGCAGAGCGAAAATCTCAATTTTTCTCAGCTCAGAAAGCACTGGTGTCACATCCAGAGTAAGGAAAGAAAAACAGTAAATTAAAACATTCTGTTTTTTAAAACTATTTCCCAAGTCAGTTATTTCATTAAGTAACAGTTATGGTGGGAGAACGGCATCACATTTCCCTTCCTGAGACTGTGCCACATTCTTCTGGGGAAAGGACTGCTTTCCTGCTGGACTCAGTTGTGGTTTTCATCCAGTGAACTTCTCTCCTGGCCAGGGTTGATACGTGACCTAAGCTAAGTCAATCTAACCTCCCACTGTGGTCACTTTGAATCTGAGCAGAGGATGGAAGGCACTGGTCATGATCACAGTTCAGTTGACCCCACCAGGTGCCCCACCCTGAGTGTTCCCACAGAATATAACCCCCACTTTCCCGCTCATGAGAGCTAGCCAGCCTTTCCATGGACTCAGCAGGTGCCTGCCACCCTCCAAAACACTCCGTTTGGCTTAAGTCTGCCACAGCCCACTTCTGTTGCCTGCACCAAACTTTCCCCAAAACTCAACTGAATTTCTGAATCTCATAGTTTCAGTTATATCAGAATCCAGACCCCCAGTATTTTCCTTGGCACTAATCCTCAGCGCAAGAATCTAACTAATTGAGACAGAAGTCCTGAAAGCCAAATTCTTTACTTCCTACAGATCACATCCATTGTTCCTGCCTTAACAAACCGCGCTCTATCCCATTCTGACCATCATTATGGGATTTCAAGACCTTATTGTCTGATACCTAAAACACATATCACCTCCTCTCTGGTTTCTCTGCCTCTGGACTGTCACCTCCAGTATATTCTTCTCTAGGCCTCTAGATTATCATTATTGAAGGACCAATTTGATGTCACCATTTATGGGCTCAAAAGCTTTCTATACTCTTCCAACAGCACTAGCTCAATCCATAAGCCATGCAACGGTTATGAAAGGAATACTACTCATGCTTCCTCAGGGTCTCTGTTGATCTCTCTAGAGAGAAAGAGATGATTCCTCTCTCTTCTTTATACCAAGAGCCATCAATCAGTGAGTAAGAAGCACTCGGCACTTGACACATGCATGTGGTGTTGCAAATGTTCCCTGATCCTAATTCCAAAACCATGTTTTCTTAAGAAGGAAATGCCAAAAAAAAAAAAAAAAAAAAAGAAGAAGAAGAAGAAATGCCATCTCATTGTTAAAGCTCTTATGGATACTGTTGTAGAATCAAAACAAAAAATATTATGGTTAAGATTTCTCCGTGGGAGCCTCGGTGTCCATCGAAAGACGAATGGATAAAGAAGATGTGGTTTATGTATACAATGGAATATTACTCAGCCATTAGAAACGACAAATACCCACCATTTGCTTCAACGTGGATGGAACTGGAGGGTATTATGCTGAGTGAAGTAAGTCAATTGGAGAAGGACAAACAGGGTATGTTCTCATTCATTTGGGGAATATGAATAATAGTGAAAGGGAATATAAGGGAAGGGAGAAGAAATGTGTGGGAAATATCAGAAAGGGAGACGGAACATAAAGACTCCTAACTCTGGGAAATGAACTAGGGGTGGTGGAAAGGGAGGAGGGCGGGGGGTGGAGGTGAATGGGTGATGGGCACTGAAGGAGACACTTGACGGGATGAGCACTGGGTGTTATTCTGTATGTTGGTAAATCGAACACCAATAAAAATTAACTTATTAAAAAAAAAAAAGATTTCTCCCTGGGACACGTGGGTGGCTCAGCGCTTGAGCACCCATGTTGGGCCCAGAGAATGATCCTGGAATCCTAGGACTGAGTCCCACAGTGGTCTCCCTGCATGGAGCCTGCTTCTCTCTGCCTATGTCTCTGCCTCTCTGTCTTGTGTGTCTCTTGAATAAATAAATAAAATCTTAAAAAAAAAAAGGATTTTTGCCTCTAGGGGTCCTGGGTGGCTCAGTCAATTGGGTGTCCAAGTCTTTTAGCCAGCTCAGGTCATGATCTCAGGGTGTGAAGTTCAAGCCATATATCTGACTCATGCTCAGCAGAATCTGCTTGTCCCTTCCCCTTCCCTTCTGTCTCTCCTCCCCTCTTCTCCCAAATAAAATCTTAAAGATAATAACAACAACAACAACGAAAAAGATTCCTCCTCTAACAATACATACCTCCCAGTTTGGATAATCGTGTGGCTTCAGAGAGCCTTTGTGTGTGCCTGGAAGCACACACAGGCAGCCATTGTTCCTGTCGATGTGCTCCATGGCTGTCCAAGCACAGACAATTTTATTGCTGGGCCTGAAGGGGAAGTAGTGCAGATCCTGGTGCAAGGGATGGCGGGATGTCTTCTTGCCTGAAACAGAACCTGCTGTTAACACACACTTGCATCTCAGATTTCATCTCTTCTGCCTGCAAAAGCACGACAATGACTATTCCTGCAAAACCCAAAGAAGTGAAACAACATTACAGAAAACCAGTCCAGAGAGATAAGCATCAAATTCGAATATCAAATCCAAAGGGCAACTCCAGATCCTCTACTTTTTTTCTGGGTTCCTGGGAGCCAAGGACTTAATGACACACAGCATTCACTAGCAATTCATACACTGAATTGTCATGAACTCTATTGTATTTTATTTCTTTGTAATTGTGGTTTGGGTACAGAGCAGAGTACCAAAAAAAAAAAAAGTTTTAATACTTGAAGAGAGTAACCAAATTGGAAATTCTCTGTTTGACCTGTTAAGTGGCTGATGCAAAAAAGGTATCATTAACTAAATTTATAAAAGGTTTCCAAAAAGTACATCACAGAACGAAAAGCACTTGGTGTACGTCACCATGGAGGATCACAGCTCCCTCAGCCATGTTTATGTTTGTTTTAAGTTGTATGACGTCTCTAAACAAGACATCCAGTGTAGAAAAGATTTGGTGATGTTAATTAAGCTATAAGCCTGTCAAATAAAGTTCTCCTGGCTCTTTTTCTCCAGAAAAAGTGGAGAAGGATAAAGGATCTTGAAGGATCAGTTTATTACAGGTAGAGCAGAATTTCTCAGCATGGTCCAAGAGCTAGGGATGGCTTCAAAAATGCAGATTCCTTGGGGCACCTGGGTGGCTCAGTCAGTTAGACATCTGACTCTTGATTTCAGCTCAAGACTTGATCTCAGGCTCATGAGTTCAAGTCCCGGGTGAGGTACACAAAATTTTTTTAGTAATACTCATTCCTGGGTTTTAGCTTTCAAATCACTTTCTGTGGTAATGAGATCTTAGGAGCTAATTTCAGCAAGCACAAGGAATTTTTTTTTTTTTTTTATGACAGTCACACAGATAGAGAGAGAGGCAGAGACACAGGCAGAGGGAGAAGCAGGCTCCATGCACCGGGAGCCCGAAGTGGGATTCGATCCCGGGTCTCCAGGATCACGCCCTGGGCCAAAGGCAGGCGCCAAACTGCTGCGCCACCCGGGGATCCCAAGCACAAGGAATTTTAAGAGCAACTGTAGTTTGTGATTCATAAATATAGTTTTAATCATAATATCTTAGTTAGTAATCATAATATCTTCAATCAGAAAAGCAAAATTCACCCTATCATAGGTGAGAATGGTTAACAAACCTTACAGGTGATGATTATAATAATAGCAACCGATGGTATATGAACAGTCATGTTTATTTAATCACACTTTTTAGAAGCAAGCCTGTCTTCTGAAAATGAAACAATAACTCTCCAGTTAATATCTGAAATAACTATTCTACCTCAACTATTATGATGTGTGCTGTTTTGAGACGTAAATGAAAGTATATAAATATTTATTTATCGAAGTTTAGCAGTATTACACACAGCTATAGTTGGAACGCTTGAAACTTCCTGTTTGTTTGTTTTTCTCCTTGAAATTAGAGTCCTTTACCAGAATCTGGTGGTTTGTTTATCAGCATTGTATGCATGGCCATAATACTGGGTCCAGTGAAGCACTCCACATATTTCAGAATCTACGAGAAAACAGGAAAAAAGTTTCACGAAAAATCAAATAAACAGGCCCATGGTACAAAGTACAAGTATCTATTACAAAAGTCAGGCCGCCAATAGTTAGCAAAACACTTGATAGAAGCTCCTGGGTGACTCAGCTGGTTAAGCATCGGATTCCTGATTTCAGCCCAGGTCATTATCCCAGGGTCATAGGATCATGGGCTAGGTTGGGCTAATTGCTCAGTGGCAAGTCTACTTGTGTTTCTCTCCCTCCGCACCCCCCCCCCCCACTTCTAAACTTCAGTGACTCGAGAGCCATTTTATGATGTCTAGCATACGTTGCTAAATGCTCAATATTAGTCAATAATTTTCCTGAATAGCAGCCCCGGTGGTGCAGAGGTTAAGCGCCTCCTGCAGCCCGGGTGTGATCCTGGAGACCCAAGTCCCATGTCGGGCTCCCTGCATGGAGCCTGCTTCTCCCATGCCTGTGTCTCTGCCTCTCTTTCTCTCTCTTTCTTAATAAATAAAAAAAACTTAAAATTTTTTTTTTCCTGAATTAACTCTTGTCTTATCCTGATTAATAATATTCTTGAAGTGATAAGTTTGATGCCCTGGTTACTTTTTCCAATACACATTGAAATAAATATCCAACTACTAAATCATCCCTACCTCCTAAAAAATCATTGCATGAACCAGCAGGTGCATGGTGCACACCTGAGAATGGTGGGAACCCTGGAGGCCTCATCAGGATTCATCTAACACAAGTTGCCTCTAACTTCAGGCTTTTCCTCTTTGATCAATGCTCACAAGTCCATTGCCATAGCAGGACTTGAGAGTGAGGAGAATGGATGGTTCAGTTAGACAACGTCCCCCTTTGTCCCCAGCCCAAGGGGGGCTGGACATCATAGGTGGCCTGTGTATACGATCTTCTCTCAGGAGGGAAATTTTCTCTTTTTTTTTTATTTGTTTAAAGATTTTTGTTTAAGATTTTATTTATTCATGAGAGAGAGGCGAGACACAGGCAGAGGGAAAAGCAGACTCCATGCAGGGAGCCCGACATGGGACTCCATCCTGGGTCTCCAGGATCACACCCTGGGCTGAAGGTGGCGCTAAACCACTGAGCCACCTGGGCTGCCCAGATTTTTTTTATTTTTATTTTTTATTTTTTTTAAGTTTTAAGCAATGATCACACCCAAACTGGGGTTCAAACTCAAAACCCAGACATCAAGAGCCACATGCTCGGGTCACCTGGGTGGATCAGTTGGTTAAATGTCCACCTCTGGATGGGGCTGAGGTCATGATCTCAGGGTCTAAGGGTCCAGCCCTGTGTTTTGCTAGGCACTCAGCACTCAGCAGGGAGTCTGCCTGAGGATTCTCTCTCTGCCTCTCCCTCTGCCCCCTTCCCCTTCTCCTGCCTACATAAATACGTAAATCTTTAAAAAAAAAAAAAAAGGCGCATATCTTAAAAAAAAAAATGTCGCAGCTCTTTCAACTAAACCAGCCAGGTTCCCACGAGTCAAATTATCTAATAGCTCTTGGGGTTATACTTTCCAAAATGTTCTATATGCAAAGTGTCCCATAAAACTATTCAAGGGACACATGGGTGGCTCAATGTTGAGCATCTGTCTTTAACTCAGGTCATGGTCCTGGGGACCTGGGATCAAGTCTCACGTCAGGCTGCCCACAGGTAGCTTATTCTCCATCTGTCAATGTCTCTGCATCTCTCTCTGTTTGTCTCATGAATAAATAAATAAAATGTTAAAAAAAGAACCATAAGTAATAATATGTAAGTGATATGGAAAGATGTGTGAGATCTGTTATAAGTGGACAAAACACAGTGACAACCAGTTTGTACCGTGTTACACAAAACGTGGGGGGTTACGGACGCATTTTCATGGCCATGAAAGAATCCTAGTTGAATACACCTAAAAGCTTGGCAGTGAGTGGGGCTGAACGTTGGGAGACTTCACTTTACATTTTCTATATTATGTGGATAACTTTATAAATATGATTTATGCTTAAAGAATGATGATTTTTTAGACAAGGTTAACTCTAAAGACCTACTTAAACCTCTACTACAGATTCACAGAACCAAAGCAACAATAAATGGATGTACAGTGAGTGGGATCTGCATGTGACTCCTGTTGATATGCCCATATCCAGTGTGAGAGAGGCTCCCCCTCTCGACTGCAGAATTCCTGCCCTTCTCCACCAGATTAATTACCAAGCGCCAGAGCAGGGTATCTCCGCCTGGCCAGTATTGACATTTGGGGCCGGATAATTCATTATTTGGGGGGAGGGGACTCTTCTGTGCATTATAGGCTCCCTGGGCTCCATTAGCGGCATGCCCAGGCTCTACAGACCAAACCTTGTGACAACCCGACAGGGCTCCAGGCGACACCAGATGTGCTCCTCCAACTGAGATCCACTGCTCTACAGCCACCAGTAAGGGGCTCAGATAAAGGAAAAGCAGGAATGCCTGAGGCAGGCATGTAGGTGGGCTGTTAACCTAAAAACAAAGAAAACACAGAAAGGTTCTCCAACCTCAGGGAGAGTGCAGTATCTGAAGAGTTCCTTGTCGTCTTCGAAGTATTGGATCTTTGAAATCATCCTTTCACTTGGAATATATTCTGATTTTGCAATGGACACATCTCTCATTGTCATCATTTGTTCTGGTTTCACCTCCCCTCTGCAGATCCTTTCAAACTGGTCCCTAGGAAATGAAATTGGCAGATGATGTCATTACTGTAGGCTCCAGGCACCTGCCTGGCCAGTTCTGTGGAAAGATCCACAAAGACTGAGGAGATGGTGTCTCTGCACCAAGTTGACCTCCAGGCCAGGCTGAGCAGCTCTGAGCATAGGGAGGAGGAAATGGCCAGCTCACAAGCCCCTGCCTCCTCACTGTGAGTCCAGAATTCGCTGTGAGAACTCACATCTTCCTTAGCCTAAGAAAACAGTGGGGAAAATCTGTGATTTGGTTGCATCTGAGTAACAATGGCAAATACTTCTCTCCTCCATTCCATGGGCCAGGCCCCTTTGGAAGCACTCTGGGTCTTTTACTTTATTCAGTCCTCACAACAACACTAGGGCTCAGTACTATTATCCCCATTTTTTTTTAAAGATTTTATTTATTTATTCATGAATGACAAAGACAGACAGAGACAGGCAGAGGGAGAAGCAGGCTCCATGCAGGGAGCCCAACATGGGACTTGATCTGGGGGTCCAGGATCAAGCCCTGGCCTGAAGGCGGCGCTAAACTGAGGAGCCACCAGGGCTGCCCCTATTTTCCCCAATTTACAGATGGGAAAGGAGAGACATGGAAAGTAAGTTGCCCCAGGCACACAACATTAAGTAGAAGGGCTAAGATTAAAGCCAGCCTTTCTGGTTCCAGAGCTCATGTTCCCAATCAAGTCCCAAGGAACCAATCCCTGAAAAATATCTGAACACGCACACTCTCCTCTTACCCATGTTCCCAACGCAAATGTACAACATATCTCTTAAAATAACGAAAGGTTACTGTACCTAAAGCGTTGAATGTCAGCGTCAGACACCAAATTTTTAATGACAAGAAACCCATTTTCTTCATAAAATTTTCTCTGTTCTAGGCTTAGGACATCATTATCCCGAGTATACCTAAAAGAAAGAAAACTTTCAAATTATCATAGAGCCAACTCATAATCCCGAAGCAAGTGTCATGTGCTCTTTCTTCTGAGTGAGCCAGCTAGGAATGCCTAATGTGAACATTTATTTTAAAAAGTTTTAAATCCAAAACATTAACTACTGTCACCAAAAAATAGAAAAACAATTAAAGACTTATATCTAGTCAATGGGATAGGTAGGACTCAGGCATTAAAAGTGAAGAGCATGTGCCCCCGGTAATTTCCTGTCAAGTCATGATCTTAAGGGTCCTGAGATAGGGCCCCCATGATTGCTGCCTGCTAAGGGGAAGTCGGCTTCAGAACCTCTCCCTCTGTCCCTCCCCTCACTCGCTATCCCTCTTGCTTTCTGTCTCTTAATTAAAAATCTTTTAAAAAATGAAGAATTTAAGAGCATGGACAGTGATTATAATATAAAATATAGATTTGTGCAAAACCAAGACACTACTTGGAAAAAAATGAAAAATAAAAAAAGAACCACATGTTTTAAGTGATTGCCTTTATGTAATGGAATTGTGGGTGGTTTTTTTTTCAATTCCTTTTATTTCTCTGATTTTGTAATTTGTAATTTGTCAGGAATATTATGACTTTTCAGGTGGGAAACAATCCAATAGATCTTATATTTTAAATTTTATTTTACATATAACACATTTTATATTTTATATTAAATCATACATTCTCAGAAGAAATCAAAGTGGCAAAAAGCAAACTCAGTGCATAGCATAGGCACAGCTCAGAGCACCCCATCCATTATTCTAGATCAGAATTGTGGCTCAGTGATAATATTCCATGATTATCAAGTCTTCCCCGAGAAAGGTAATTTAAGATAAGCCAAAGATACCAGCTAATAGAGCAGTATGGCCACAAACTAAGGGCTAACTTCAATGAGATGTAACATGCCTGAATTTGAAATAATCAGACTATACACTTCTGATATTTTTTGCCTTTCTGGATGTTAAAATACATATAAGTATTAAAGTCAAGGTCTTTAACATTTTCCCTAGGTTTAAATAGAACAAATAGAACTTGTTCTATTTAAACAACAGAGGATTTCTATAATGAATTATATTTTTAATTTTATTTATTCTCTTTAGGGAGGGAGGACAGGCAGGGCAGGGTGAGGAGCAGAGAGATAGGGGCAAGCAGACTCCCTGCTGAGCACAGAGCCCTCCATGGGGCTCCATCCCACCATCCTGAGACCATGACCTGAGCAGAAATCAAGAGTCAGACACTTAACCCACTGAGCCACCCAGGCGCCCCGCCCCCTGTGTAATAAATTCACCAGACAACATGACATGTTGTATTTTATATCTTAATTCCCACTAGAAAAAGCTGCATATATGTATATCATATGGTTTTTAATGACCATTAGATCTACTTACTGGAATTGTGGAGGATGGAAGCTGTTTGGAGATACAGCCCCCGAAGTGGGGTAAGCTACCTACGATATGAATTAAGGCAAATAAAATTAAATTTCAGAGTCAGCATTTTCTGGAAACCACAGTTGGCCCTGGATTAGCCCTCATCCGGGAAGACACGCAGAGCTGATGACAGGTATGCACCCTTGCTTCCATCATTTCATTTCACAAAATCCTGAGGAGGGGCTGGAAGCCCCAAGACCTTTATCAGCATTCCTGCTGCCCAGAGCAGGTGGCCTAGACCCCTGGGCTCAGTAACTGGTCCAAGGTCACCCAGCAGAGAATGGCTGAGCCCACACTTGAGCCATCACTGTCTCCTTCATAGATTTCCCTAGTTTATTCTATGTGACTATTCCTTCCACTAAACTGCTGAACAAATAAACATTGTAAGGTTCATGTCTAACAGTGAAGAGCAATGTACTCTTCAAAAGAGGTATTGAAGTTAGTGGCAGTCCAGACCAAAATAGGAGAAGGAGTATGGCTCGTTAAAAAATTAAACAAATAAAGAGTCTATTAGATCAACAGGCTCCACTCCAGAGCTGAGCTAGAAACAGGAATCAGATGCCTCATGGACTGAGCCACCCAGGGGCCCATGATATCAAATGTTAACAGTCGTACCAGATTGGACCCAGTTATCCCTAGTCCCAGTATGTTGGTGCTTCTCACTGTTGGGCATGTATCCGAAACAAGTGAAAACAGATGGCTGGGCCCCACTCCCAGGTGTTTGGAGTCCAGGGTCAGAGATGAGCCTGGAATCTGCCTTTCTAGCAAGTTTCCAGCTGCTGTTGACGGTGCCCGTCCCGGGAACACACTGCTTTAGTTGAATGGCTTCGGTCAAGGCTGTGCCTCTCCCCTGGCCTGGGTTTCTGCTTTCTGGCCCGTCGGATGAGATCTCATCATCAGCCTTGTGGGAGGGCGGCTGGACTCTCGTTTACCGCCGCATCGAGGCTTGGAACTCAGAGCAATCCTACAACAGCCAGTCTCATTTGTAGGAAAGATTTCAGGACCCTGCCCTCAGCAGGACAGAGACTAGTCCCGCGGCTGAAGGGAAAGTCGCGCGCAGCGTTTCCCGGGCTCCCCGAAGTGGCCCCCAGAGGGATCAGGAGACCCGGTTCTATCCGGCAGTTTGGTGTCCCTGTCCTGCAGCGACGTGTCCTGGATGCCACAGCAGTGGCGCCCACGGCGCCTGCGAGCTGCCCTTGCCCTCGTGAAGGCCGAGGCCGAGGCCGCGGAGAGCGCGGGCCCCTGGGCTTGGCGGGCGGCGGGGCGGCGGGCGGCGCACGCAGGTCCCGGGCGGGAGGGGAGCGCCGGGGCCGCGGCCAGAGCGGGCTCCCCCGCGGAGGGGGCCGGCCCGGCCCGAGGGTCCCGCTGCCGCCCGCCCGGCCGCCCCGGGCAGCTCCGCGCTTCGCCTTTCCCGGGCTCCGGGCGGCCGCGGCCAGAGGCCCGGGGAGCTGCGCGCACGCCGCCTGCTCTCCGCCCGCAGCGCAGGGCCCCGGGCCCGGGACGGCGCGGAGGCCGGGGGCTGGGGGCGCGCATCAGCCCCGGGGCCCGCACTGCCCGCGCCCTCCGGGCGGCCGGACGCCCCCTGCTGCCTGCCCCCCTGCCCCCCTGCCCCCCGCCCCGGGCGCCCGGAACAGGCGGGACCATCACGGGGACGCGGGCGCCGACCCAGGGGACCCTGGAGGCCACCGCCCCTGCAGCCCGAGCTCCCGCAGCCCAAAGGATACGCCGGCCCCGGCCGAGGGCTGGCCGAGGTGTCCCAGCACGACGCGCAGGCGGGCGGCTGCCTGGCACTGGTTCATGGCCCCGACAGGAGGCGGCTCAGCAGGGCCTGACAGCTGCTGCAGGGCTGGGCGTGGGGGGGTGGGGGCTGATGAGGGGCAGTAGTGGCCCAGGCGGAGGGCGTGGAGCTCCCGGATTCTTCTCCGTCGTGCGGAGATGCCCCGGGCCTCCTGGGTCCAGGCACTGGGCTCCCCGGGCGGAGAGGATGGATGCCCGCACACCCTGCTCCTCCGAGATCGCAGAGATCCTCACTGCCTCCCAGAGCAGGGCAAGTGCTTTCAAGGGCTTCTAACCCGGTGAAGGTCGCCCAGGGAGAAATGAGCCAACACATGACCCATGCTCCCAACTGGGACTTTCAGTCTGTTTCATCCCACGTGACGGTGCCCGTCCCTGTGCAGATGCTCTGACAATTCACATGGTCGTTCACCTGGACAAGTAACATGCTGATCCAAAGAGGAATTTGGGGATCCAGTCTGAGGTAGCCGAAACATATTGGCTTCTCATTCAAGAAAAAGAAAGTCCCTGAAGGAATGACTCTGAAGCTAGTGTGATCCTCACAGTCTAGTATTTTAAATTTTCTAAAACTCTCAAGTTTTATCTTTCTCTCTCTCTTTTTAAATTCATTTATTTGAACTAATTTCTACCCTCAACATGAGGCTCGAACTGACCACCCCAACATCAGTAGTTCAGGATCCACCAACCAAGCCAGGCCTTCCCTTCCCTTCCCTTCCCTTCCCTTCCCTTCCCTTCCCTTCCCCTCCTTTTCTTTCCTTTCCAACAATTCAGTTTCTTTGGGGTAAGTATCCTGCCACCATCATGGAGGTCATAACCACCATCCCTTCTCAAAGTTTTCTCCTGTACTCTTCACCTCACTATTTTGTTTGTATGTGGGAAGAACACAAGATAAGATCCACTGTCTTAGCAAATTTTAAGTATATATTGCAACATTGCTAGCTGTAGACACTATGCTGTAGTATAGACTTCTCGAACCACTTATGTAGCTTCACTGAAAGTTTGTAGCCTTAAACCGTCCCCTCTCCATTCTCCCCTCTCTTTAACCCCTGGTAACCACCATGGTCTCTGCTTCTATGAGTTTGACTCTTAAATTCCTTGTGTAAGTGGGAGAAGGAGGTACCTGTCTCTCTGTGACTGGCTTATCTCACTTAACCTAGTGCCCTCGAGCTGCATCCATGTTGTCACAAATGGTAGGATGTCCTTCCTCACTAAGGCTGAATCATATCCCATTGTATGTGTGTACCTTGTTTTCTTTACCTTTTCACTTGTTGACCACCACTTAGGTTTGCTTTATCTTGGCTCTTGTGAATAGTGCTAGGTGCAGGGGGAAGTGGAGATATCTCTTTGAGATCTAATTTCAGTTCCTTTGGATAGATTCCCCGAAGTGGGATTACTGGATCATGTGGCAGTTCTTTTTTTATTTTTATTTTTTTTTAAATAAGAGAGACACACACACAGAGAGAGAGGAAGAGACAGAGACCTAGGCAGAGGTGGAAACAGGCTCCCTGCAGGGAGGCCAATGTGGGACTTGATCCCAGGCCGTGGAATCACCACCTGAGCAAAAGGCATCTAGATGCTCAACCACTGAGCCACCCAGGCGCCCCTTATATGGTAGTTCTAGTTCAAATTTGTTGAGGAACTTCCATACCGCTTTCCATAATGACTGTAAGAACTAGAAATTCTTTCTAGAATATCTTTTCATCCAGTCTCTGCAGTTGATTGACATAGCATCTCATTGTTTCTTTTTTCTTCTTCATTTTTCTCATTGTTTCTTTGTCTTAAAGAGTTACTTCAGGAATGTCTCACCTTAGAAATATGTCATCATTTTGGTTTCTTAAGATTTTATTCATCAGTTTGAGAGAGAGATAAAGGAAGTAGGGGTTAGGAGCAGAGGCAGTGGGACAACAGAGTACATGCTTAGTGCACAGCCTGATACAGGTCTCAACCCCAGAACCCCCGAATGATGACCTGAGCTGAAGGTGGACGCCTAACCTACTGAGCCACCCAGGTGCCCCCAATATGCACTATTCTCTCTAGTGAGAAAAGGTGCAAAATTACTGTTGAAAGTAAATTATATTATCTATGCAACCAATACCTTGTCTAGAGAAAAAGGGTGCTCTGAGCTTGGGGGATGAGAAGCTCAAGGAGGTAGGTTGGGGGAAATCTAGACCTCTCTCTGTGTACCCACATACATGCACATACAAGATAGTTACGTATCTGAAACATCATTATCTATGCTTGCTTTATTACTTCTGAAAATAAAGAAAAGCATCGCAGTGGTAGTAGAGTATAGCTATTCTGGTCTCTCTTTACAGAATAAAACTGTAAAACTTAGAATTCGATAACTCCTTGAAAGCAACGCTAAATTCAGACCAAAACTGGGGTTCAAACATTTCAGATCAGAACAACTTAAAACACTCGCATTTATTCATCATAAGGCATGCAGAATTGGAGACTACAATGTACTAAGTTATTTTTAAAATATTTGGCCAAAAAGTACATATTGCTTACACAGTATTTCAGTATCTCTTCCTAGGCAGAATTCCAAGTTTCAACACAGCCTGTTCAAATAAACAAATTGAGCCTTGATATTGACAGGTAATTCCTGTTGCCAATAGGAATAACCTACCTCACCAGGGCCCTGCCCTTTCAGGGTGCAGTAAAAATGCCGTGCATTTTAACAAGCTGTATTTTTGGATGCAACATCATAGGATTTAAGGAAAACAACTCACTATACAAAGGTCAATGTGAAGTTTTAAAATGTTACCAGGAAGTCAAATAATTGTCTATTTATTAACTATTCACCAAATTGGAACATCTCCTACACAGATTTTTCTAAGAGGTCAAAATTCAATCACTTGATTCTTCAAGGAACTCTCCAATTTCTTGGGTGTGGGTGCTTTCAAGGGATTCTAATCCGGTGAAGGTCATCCACGGAGAAATGAGCCAACACATGACCCATGCTCCCACCTGGGACTTTCAGTCTGTTTCATCCGACGTGACGGTGCCCCTCCCTGTGCAGATGCTCTGACAATTCACATGGTCGGTCACCTGTAAAAGTAACAGGCTGATCCAAAGAGGAATTTGGGGATCCAGTCTGAGGTAGTTGAAACATATTGGCTTCTCATTCAAGAAAAAGAAAGTCCCTGAAAGAATGATTCTGTGAAGCTAGTGTGATCCACAGTCTAGTATTATTTTAAATTTTCTTTAAAAAATAGAAATGAAAAAAAAATAGAAATGATTTTTCTTTTTCTTTTTTTTTTTAAGTTTATTTTTTAAGTAACCTCTTCCCCCAACCTGGGAATCCAACTCAACACCACAACATCAATCTATGATCCACCATGTGCCCCTTTCTTCCTTTCCCTTCCCCCTTCCCCTTCCCCTTCCCTTTCTCTTCCCCTTCCATACTATTTTCCATAATGACTATAAGAACTAGAAATTGTTTCTGTAATATCTTTTCCATCCAGTCTCTGCAGATGATCGACATAGCATCTCATTGGTTCTTTTCTTCCTTATTTTTATCATTGTTTCGTTGTCTTAAAGAGTTACACCAGGAATGTCTCACTTTAGAAGCATGTTATCATTTGTTTAAAAAGATTTTACTTATTAATTTGAGAGAGAGAGAGAGAGAAAGCAGGGGGGAGGAGCAGAGGAGGAGGACAGGCAGCCTCTAAGCTGTGTGCAGAGCCTGAGATCATGACCTGCGCTGAAATCAAGATTCCGATGCTTTAAAATTAATTGATTGATTGATTAGCTTAAAAAGAAAAGATTCAGGGCAGCCTGGGTGGCTTAGTGCCACCTTGGGCCCCAGGTGTGATCCTGGAGGCCTGGGATCAAGTCCCACATCGGGCTCCCTGCATGGAGCCTGCTTCTCCCTCTGCCTGGGTCTCTGCCTCTCTGTGTGTGTGTCTCTCATGAATAAATAAATAAAATATTTTAAAAAAAAGATTCAGACACTTAACCAACTGAGCCACTCAGGCACCCCTAAACATGTTATGACTTCTTAACTGATGTCTTTTTTAAAAATTATTATTATTATTATTATTATTATTATTATTTTTACATGAGAGAGGCAGAGACCTAGGCAGAGGGAGATGCAGGCTCCTCACAGGGAGCCCAAGGTGGGACTCAAACCCTGGACCTCGGATCACACCCGGAGCTGAAGGCAGATGCTCAACCGCTGAGCCAGCCCGGTGTCCCTCAAGTGCTGTCCCTATATAACGTGGTGAACTGCCATCCTCACGGAGAAAAGCAAGCCAGGACTCAGAATTGTTAGCTGCTGCCTATTTCATCTGAGGCAGGGTGGAGAATCGTCAGCATCCAGAGCAAGGCTTGCCTTCACCTCACCTTCGGGTTCTCTATTATTTTTACATGATTCCTCCTTACCCAGACTCTCAAATCTGATTGACAGCAATGTCCTGATCCTTCCCTCAGGAGCTCTTAACCTCATCTCTCGCAGATTGATCATCACAGGCGGGCCCCCAATCCTGAACTCGTTGATTGGATTGCCAAGGGTTTTCAGGAGAGGCACTTCTGTGTATCATAGTTAAAAATGAAGTATCTGGCCCTTGGCAGGTATAGGAAAGAGAATCTCCATCTTTCGGATTCCTAAAAGGTGCTGCTCCTGGACTGGGCCTGGGTGACTAGGTGAGTCCTTATTGCCGTCGTGTGGTGGAAAGTGGGTACTACTAGGAAGGAGAAAATGTAACGAGTTCAGGCCAAAGCAAATTATATGGGGGTCAAGACCCTTATCCACACAGGCCCTGAACCGTTACTGGCCTTCCAGACCATTGGGAAAGACAGTGAGATGAAACTACCTACACCTGTAGTTTTAATGTTCCCCCAAAATACCCCCATTTTACAAGTGTGTGAAAATCCCTGCCCTCTCTACCCTAAGGTGTTTTACAATGGATCTGTTTAAGTTTATAGTTGTTATAAAAGATGAAGGAAATCTTTGAATGCTTCCAAGTATTATCTAACTTTTTTAAATCAGAGGATGCTGGGTTTAAAATTTTTCATTTAAGATCCCATGGGGAATTAGAACTATAATTTCTCCTTAGGTAACTTGATGAACGTTCCTAGTTTTTAAAAATAGCAATTTGGATTATTTGGAAATTCCCTAAGTAGGCATCTTTAATAACTGTGCTATTAAAATAAAAATGTTTTAGAACAATTGAAATAGAACACCATGAAACATAAGCATGATCGCAAGAATGATCATTTCTTTCTCCTTCAGCATTTGGTAATTATTCATTTCTAGTAATGTTGGAGCAATGTGCTTGAGATTGAGTCCCACATCGGGCTTC